CCCATCTCCCCCAAACTCCTGCACCCTTCTCCATGCTGTCACTGCTCTGTTGGCTTCATGCAGACCCCACAGTGACCCCGAGATCCGGGTGTAGAACATGCTGTGATGTATGTTCTATCCACAAGGTGGATACACTGTTATAGCCACAAGGTGGAAGGAGGCTGGCTCCCCGGGAGAGGACACCACTAATCAGAAGGGCTTGGAGGGGCCCAGGACCAGGTCCCAATGACTCACCCACTTGGAATTGTACGGTAAAGACAGTAACTTCTGTTGGCTTCATGCCATTATTCATTTGGGGGTTATGACACACCTGTGAATCCAGAGCCTGAAGCAGTTCACTGGGCAGGGGTCTGGCAGCCACCTTCTGGTGGAGCAGGTGAGGCCAGGGCTTAGCAATGAAGCAGGTGCCAGGACAGCAGCAAAGGACACCAAAACCTTGTAGGGTCTCCATGGAAAGCTTCTAGATGCTCCTCGGAGGGGCTGATGCCAATCCCAGAGTGGGTTTTTTAAGGAGAAACTTTAAAGGGGTGCACATTACACTGCAGAGCAGGTGTGTGTGTGTGTGTGTGTGTGTGTGTGCGCGCGCGTGTTCCTTCCTCTCTAGTCTAGGTCTCGGCCCTGCAATCCTCTTCTGTATTCCTCCTCATTCTATCAGCCCACATCGCCCGTCTTTTGCAAAGAACCCCCCCTTCATTCCCCTTCCCTGTCTACCACCGTCTTTTCTTCATTTGAGAGCAAAACTCTTGAATGTAGGATTCCTTCCTCCTTGTGCTCCTTGCCAAGTGTCACCTCTCGGAGAGAATGGAACCTCTATCAGCCAGGCGGCACCCCCACCCCTCATGACGACCCCCATCTTGCCAACTTCAGGGTCGTGTTTTAGTTCTCACTTGCTCTTCTGTCAGCAGCACTTGGAGGAATTGATGACCTTTTTTTAAAGAAGTTTTTCTTATGGAAAAATGTTCACACGCACGAAAAGCCGAGCTTAGTGAATTTCCACAGACCCTCCCCCCGCAGCAGCGATGAGTAACTTCAGATCTCTCCTGCCCCCGGTATCTTGCTGGGGAGTTGGAAGTCCGAGACTTCATGGGATGTCGCCTCTTACGTCTTTCAATGAACTTCTAGCTGGTACCTTTATTTTTCAGCTCTCAACCCAGCCGTCAATGTTTCTAACACGATGACTAGAATCCAGGTCCCCCTAGTGCCCCTCAGGCCCCTGATGCCTCAAAGATGTCTTTCTGCGGGGGTTTTGTTCAGCTCCAGACACAATCGGGGCCACACACTGCATCAGGTTCTCTTCAATCTCTCCCGCTCCACCAGCCACTCTCTGCTCCCCCAAACCCCACAACTGATGTGGGAGAAACTGGGCCGCTTGTCTGATGGCACAGCCAGCGTTCTGACGGGGCGATGCCTCTTCATGGGGTGTGGAACGCACCCCTCTGTGCCTCTTTTTGCTGCCAGTGTGGTGAGAGCCGGGCCTCCCTCCTCCTACTCAGTCCCTCCCTTGACTTTGGGGACATGGGGCTCTCCTGGTTTTCCTCCTCAGTCTCCCTAGCAGATTCTGCTCCCAGCTCTCTGCACTGGTCTCTATGGTGTTCTCACCCACATCCATGATCTAAACACCAGCCAGGGACTGATGACTCCCCATTTCACATCAGCAGCCCAACTCTCCCTCCCCTGGACTCCTGCATTCCCCTCCCACTAGCCCCATGTCCCCATCTCAAAAGTAACTTCCCAAAATGGAACTCTTGGTATCTCCCAGGACCTGCTCCTCCCAGCACTCTCTGCCTTGGCAAACCGGTGTGCCCAGTTGCTCTGGCAGAAGAGCTGGAAGTCGTCCTTACTTTCTTGCTTGCTCTCTCGGTCCCAACATCAAGTCCAGCCATGGATCTTCAGACCCAAATGTCTCCTTCTCCTTCCTCATTCCCTGCCTGTCCTGGTCGAGCTTCCTCTCTCTTCTGGAGGCCTCCCTCCAACGGGGCTGGCTGCTTCCACCTGAGGAGACCATGTCTCTCCCCTGCTCAGAGCTCCCCAGAAGCTCAGCCTACAAAGCCACTGCCCACTCTGCTCTAGCCGCTCTGGCCTCCCCAGTGCTCCCTCGGGCCTCCCAGATCTTCGGCAGCCTCTACTAGCTCCCAGGACTCATCCCCAAAGAAGGTGTCCTTGGTCCCCCTGAACTCCAACCACTTCTTATCCTACTTTATTTTTTCTTCAATGTTTGTGTTCCTGACACCCCACGATATAATTTGCTATGTAACTTGTAACCTATTGCAGTAGAAACGGGAGGCTGACACAGAAGCCACGGGGCTGTGTGTCTGGAGGGAAGAGGAGATTCTTCGGACCCTTGCCAGAGCCTGGAGTGGCCAGAGCCTGGTGTGTCCCTCCAGTGCAAACAGTGCCACTCAGTGCCCAGCGAGATGACGTAACATAGTTGTGTCTGTGCCAGGTATCTTAGAAGCCAGAAGGCAGCTCTTCGGAGTTAACCTCTGATTGCCGACCAGGCCCTTGCCAGCTGAGCTCCTGCAGGACAAGTGACGGCAGGAGGCTCAGAGACAGTGGGGTGCTGAGAATCGTTTCCCTGATTCTAGGGGTGTGAGGCTATGACCCTCCCTACACTCTAGCATCATCTGTAAAAGAGCTCAGGTCCCTCTCCAGGAATTTTGTTCAGAGATGGGGTCTGGACACTGGGATTGTTCAAGATCTCCCATTTGCAGCTGGGATGGAGAACCCCCACATTTGCAGCTTGAGTGAAGCGGGACTGCTATTGTCCACTGTCACCTTTTCAGAAAACAACCACTGTGCACCTCCCCAGGGCCACCACGGAGTGGACTTAGGACACCTGGAGTCAGCCAGCATGGAGAGTCCTCAGGGGAGGTCAGAGGTGCCCCCAGAGTGACTCTGGGAAGGTGGAGGGGGGGAACCAGGTCTGGAGGAGCTGTGCCTGGAGGTGCCCGCCCCAGGTTTGGCCTCCTGCTTCCAGCCCTGCAGAGCCCAGCAAGTCACTCAGACAGTGCGCCAGTGCCCCGGGCAGATCCCCTTTGCGTCTGGGCCTCCTTGGCACAAGGAACATGGGGTACTCAGGCCCTTCCTGCCTCCAGCCACCAGCCTCTGCAACTGCCACCCATGGCCTTGCTCTCCTCCCAGGTTGCATTAATCTTGTGTCATGCTGTGTTGATGCAAAAAGCACTTGGGAGCACGAGCATGGGGTACATGCACCTATGATTTCAGACACCTGGGATTAAAGGGCTAAAAGGGGCTCCTTAGCTCTGGCATCACTCTGAGGCTAGGGGACTTGGTTGCTGCCTCCCTGCCTGCGGCTCTGCCTGTTGAGTCTGTTTCCCTGATTCAGCATTAAAGGTATGTTCAATATACTCAAGGCTTCAAAAACGCTCTTTTCGTCTGCCTCAATCAATAATGAACCTTCCAGGCCTGGGATGATTGCACAGTACCTGGTACCAGGCCTCTGGCTTGTCCCCAGTTCCCCCCTACCCCCAGTCCAGGAAGCTCTACCTTCTAGGCCTCCGGGCCTCCTGAATATGGAGAGGCCTGGCCATCCCCTCTGTAGGGTACATGAATTAATCAGGCTTTTTACGCCACTAGCCTCTGTGGGGCCACTGTGGCCATCACCTGTGGTTTGATGGCGTTAATTTAGAAGGCACTTGGGCGTGGGTGTGGGCACGTGTGCCTGATGGAGGACGCCTAGAGTATGGTGTGCGCATGCGTAAGTGTGCACACCTGAGCCTAGAGGCCAGGGCTATAAGGGCGGTGTCCTTCAGCGATGGACGACGGCTACGTGAAGACAAGTGGCGTGACTACAGAAGAGGTGAGACCACGTAACAATGAGAGCGGGAGCGCCCAGGGGAAGAGCTCAGATTCCCTGGGGGCTGGGACTCTGGTCCCCAACATCCCTGCCTGGTGTGCCTGTGTCCCTGAGAGAGCTTTGAAGCCTGTAAAAGTCCAGAGCTCCTGGACTCTGCATGACTCAATAGTGCACCTGCCCCAAGGCTGCTGGCACCAGGCCCTCCTTCCCTCCGAGGGCCACCTTCCCTTCCACCTTCCTTCAGCTTCTGTCTTTCTACACTTCTGCTCATCTGTCTCTGCCTGGGCCAAGTCTCCTGCGAGGTCTGCTGAAGAATGACCAGGGCCTGCGATCTGGGGGACCCTGGAGGCTGCAGGTCTGGGGGAGGGGATTCCCAGAGTCTGCGCTGACGGCAGTTCTTAGATCCTCGGGAAAGGCCCCTCCCTCCTCAGCCAGCGTGGTCTTCTTTCTTTCTCTGCCCCCTGAGGCAGCCCTTATGGATTCACCTGACTTGACAAGTGATGACTCTGATGGGTCAGGGGTCAAGAAGCTGGGCCCTGGCCGTATGCCCAGGCCGATGCCATGGGAGAGGACACTTTGAACCTATGTCCACTGATGGACTATGAAAGCGTGAGGACAGGGTCCAGCAAGGGGCCTGGGGAGCCGTTCTTGGGCAGCCTGTCCTGGAGGTGTCGTGTGTGATCTCACAGACATCAGTGGACCACATTCTCCAGCCTGCTCCCTCGGCTCGCCACACTTCCCCCCGTCGCATCCACTCGATTCAGTAAGGCGGAGCGGTGACCCTCACACCCTTCTGCTGCTACTCTCTGGACGAGATGACCAGCCGGGGTCACTGGGCTGGTCAGAGGAAGGCCAGAACATCCCCGGGGTGGGGAGGTGTGACAGCAAAGGTCCCAGCCTTTCTTAGAGGTTGTTCTTCTCCCATCTAGGCCTGACCTGGCGGCCCCCCACACGGTCCTACTGCCCAAGCTCGCCCTGACCTCCCTTGCCCCGTGCGGCTGGCTGGGGCTGGTGCAGGCCCGACCTCAAGCCCACTCCTTCTCGTCCATCCAGCCACCTGCTCACGGGGCTCCTGCCTTTGAAAAAACCCCAGGTACTCACCAGAAAGTCCTCCCCTCCTGCTGGGGGGCAGGGCTCAGAGCACCCACAGCTGAAAGGGGGAGGTGGATTCACTTCCTGTCTCTCCAGCAGACCTGGGGAAGCACTTGCCTGGTCTGCCCTGTCAGGAGGGGGCCAGGGAAGACCTCAGGGGTGAGGGGATCCCAGAAGGGCCAGCTCTGGTCCCAAGGGACAAAGCCCCTAACCTCAGGGAGGTTCATCTCTTAGCAGCTCTGCCTCCTTCCAAGCAGAGGGAAGGCCCTGCTGGGCCTGTCCAAATGCAGAGGCTCGAGCGAGCAGAGGTTGGGAGGACTTGTTTATTCAAGGCACGGTCATAGCATTAATAACAGAAGGTTCGGCATTCTGGTACATTCCTTTAGTGGTGGTAGCCAAGGGAAGTCCACACCCCCACCGGGCCCCCAGAGGATGCAATGCTGCTGATAGGCACTTTGCTTCCAGAAGCTTCTGAGAAAGAGGCAGGCAGGCATGGAGCTGCTCCAGGCCCCGTGGGGCACTTCTGGGAGGTTCTAGGCAATATCACTCCATCCCCTCCTCACCTGGGGCAGCTCCCTCCAGAAAGGATTAGGTCTGAGAGGGGGTGGTTCCCTGACAGGCAGGCCCAGCTGGGAAGGGGTTGGTGGCCTGGGGTGGGATGGTAGCAGGGAGGGGAGGTACTTGGAGGCTAGAATGTGGTGTGTGAGGAGCTAAAGCAGGCCGACACCTCTGCTTTCTCAGAACCAGACTACACTTAACCCAAATTCAGAGAGAGGAGCCGCCAATAGTGCGGCCATGTTATCTGCTGGGAGGCCTCCATAAGCAGCGTCCACAGGCTGAGGTGGTCAGCGGAGCAGAGAGGGACAGAAGAAGTAGCAGAAACAGCCCAGTGGGGGCCGCATCAGAGGGGGCCAGGCAGCAGCAACCGGCGGCCGACACAGGAGCGCCCACAGGCCAGCTTCTGGTAAGACACCCCAGCACATACAGTGTGTGACACACCGCGGGCTGGGCAGGGCTGAGCCGGCCCCCTTCCCACAGGGATCCCCGCTGAGGCCCTGACCACTCTGCTCCAGAAAGGACCCTTCCCCTTGTGGGTGGGTGAGATGCCAGGGCAGAGGTCCTGTGGGGCCAAGCTGGACCAGGACCGGGAGAGACCACCTCCCCAGTCAATCCAAGGTCTGCTGAAGAAAGATCCCTCACACCAAAGTTTGGGCCAAGACCTGGGAGAGGGCACTGTTTGCCCCTCAAGTGCTATTTTTTGCCTGGGGTGAAGCCTGGAGCGTCTGAGGCTGAGATGCAGGCAGAGGTGGAAAAGGGACCGGGCCCAGGTGAGTGAGTGCAGGGGTGTGGCGGGGGCCCACCTTCAGCAGGTTGGCTGCAGGGACCCAGGTCTCTGGAGCTCAGGAGAACCCTAGAGCATGGGGACCCCATTCGATTGGACTGGCTCTGGCCCATGGAAGCTCCTGCTGGTCCTTCTCTGTCCTCCACTAGGCTGCCTAGGGGTCCTGGTGGGGTCTGTCCCCAGAGGCGGAGGCTTGCACCCCCGCCTGCAGCACAGGTGCCAGGTGTCACCAGCACTGTTCCTACCCGGGATTTGGCTCCTTCAGGCCTCAGGTGCTGGCAGCTCTGGGAGGGCAGAGAGGGTTTCGTCATCGAAGACACAGCCCCCTCAGTCCCGCAGGGCAACCCCAGTTCTAAGCTAGGACTACCCTGGAGGCCACTTGGAGTGGCTTTCACTCTAGGGTGCAGGGTGGACCCGAGAGGAGCAGAAGGGCCCCTGCTTGGAGGCCAAGGAATGGTCAGTGCCTTCAGTTTGAAGGATGGACTTCTCCCCAGCTGCCTCTCCTCTTGGCCTTGCTGGGTGAGCGGAGGCCAGGGCACTCAGAGGGGATGAGGCAGGAGGGGCTCTCAGTGGCCACAGTCTTGGCCTTGGGGGTCCTCTCAGTAGGCTCTGGGGTGGTTTACCTAGATACTCTTCACACAGGATTTGGGGAGAGACCCCCCTCCAAGGATTCTGCCTCTGCCCCTCCCCACCTGATATTAACCAGCCGAGGTTGCCTTCATCAAAATGCACACAGGTCTCGTTTAATGAGCCCGAGTGACCGTGTCCCAGCTGCCCTTGCAAGAATAGGAAGGAGAAGGGCCTCTACCCTGCTGCTCCTGGGGCCAGCTGATGAGGGCTGGAGGGTAGGAGGGGCTCGGACAGCTCCTCTCAGGTCTGTGTTCTCAGTGACCCCTCACCCCGCACGATGCAGAAACTCTCTCTTCATGGATGCCCATGCAGGGAACCTGGGCACGGTGTTCGTCGGCCTCCTGTCGATGAGGCCCAGCACACGAGCCTTCGCTTCCTCAGACTGCGGAGGCAGGATGGACTGGGAGGAGGGTGGGTTGGGGCGGCAACTGCAGTGGAAGCTTCTTGGCAGGGCAGCTGGTAGAGGGTGGCGAAGACCCCAGAGTCTTCGGTGGGCCTCTTCTGCCGCCTCCTTTTTGCATATCTCCTCTGTCTCCATCCCAGTGGGAACCCCAACCTTCAGTCTCTGCGCCCAGAGCTTCAGCCACCTTTCCCAAGACGTGGTGCCAGCCTGTCTCCTTCAACCCATCCAGGGTCCCTTTGCACTGCCCAGCAGGTCGGCAGGTTGGGGCCTCCACAGGCCGATAGCCAGGGCAGCAGGCATCTCCACTTGGGCCTTCCCAAAGTCTGCAGGAAGTGGCCAGGAGGTGAGGCTGCCCTCCTGCCAGGCCCTCCCCTGGCTGCTGCTCCCAGCTGGAGTTGCCAGGTGGAGGCCTTGGGTCCTGGTCAGTGGTACTGGCTCTCGTGCGCCAGTTCCAGCCCTTCCTGGAACTGGGTCGAGTCCAGCTCCCTCACAAAGCCCGACGACGCAACACTCGCCTCCTCTTCCTCTCCTAGCTGTCTGCTCATGCTGCCGTAGCTTAGCCGGGCCTGGGAGGAAGCTGGGGTCAGGTTCATCTCTGGCTCTTGCAGCACGGTGGCCATGTACAGCTGCTCCGGACAGAGAGGGGACACGGGGGTGAGGTCACATCTGGGACAAGGCCTTGGGTATACCCTTCCCCTTCACACCCTACCCCCAGAGCTTCCCTGCAGCCTGAGTCCTTCCTTTCCACCCCCAGCCCAGCTGCTCTTGATCAGCCCCCAGGGCTGGAAAATGCAGGGCTCCTGACCCCTAGTCCTGTAGCCACATTCCTTTCATCTGTGGTTCCAGGTTAGGCTGAACCCACAGGGAGAAAACAGGAGGCTTCCCCAGCTGGAGCCTGGGGAGACCCCCTCCCTGAGCTCCTGCACTTTCTAAGACAGTTTCAGAGGTGCATCCCTTTGAGCACGTAACATTGCTTGGCCTGTGAATCTGGGTTTACAACTGAGACTGCCAGCTGAGGTCTGGGTCACGTGGCCGGTCAAAACCAGGATGGTCCCACGACTGCCTGGGAGGACAGCAGGATAGGAAACGCAGGAAGAACTGGGGGTTGGTGGTGGGGGGGGAGTTATTGGCATCCTTTGAAGAAACTTTAACACCAACTTCTTAATTTGAAAATAGGTAATTATGGGACAGAACTAAGCCTTTCCTATAGGAATTCATTTCAATGAAACCAAACAGCCTTAGTTGATGAGGGAGCTCTTTTCTTACAAGAGTCTAGAATATTTGCATAATACCAAAGGAAACTCTGCAGATGACCTTTCATAAGGAGAAACTAACCCTGGAAGAAGCCAGCTGTCACCCCCTAATCAGGGGGTCACTTTAGCATCATGAATGAGGTGAGCCCATGTGTCTCAGATGCTGTGCTACCTGGAATGTATTGTTGCCTCTACGTTGAACTTGAATGATGCAGCCTTTGGAGCTAACATCTAGCTTTCAGGAAATAGAGAAGTTAGTGGAAAATGCTGTAGGGCCTCAAGAAAAACAGCTAGAAAAATCGAGAAGGTGTGACATGCTGCAGGAATATTGGCTTGATCTCACCAGCAAATCAAAAAAAGAGAAGGTGCTGATAGAAAAGAGACATGCACAGGTACTACAGGTACTACACAGGTGTTAGATTAATCTAGCACAAAGACTGGATGGGGTCTTGGCTGGGAATACTTTCATTTGCAAATGAACAAAATATTTGAAGAGGCAAAAATTTATATATGGGAATGTAGAGAGTGTGAACTAAAAGTACAGGTTAAAAAATTATTTGCAGTATTTCATCTTAGCAAAAATTTTATATTTAAATCTATCTAGAAAAAGGAATGGTAGGGGTTCTCAGTGGTCATATCTGGGTGGTGGAATGTGGTGACTTTATTTCCTTTTTTTCTGACTTGCCCCTATAATTATCTACAGTATTCTTATACCCCTGTTGTAATAATGCAAGCTTTAAAAAAATAGATTTCGGTAATTTTTAAAGCTCAGGCTTTAGAGCTGGATAGAACTGGTTGGAACTTTGTTGGCCACTTCCTTGTTCAGTGCCCTGGGGTGGCATTAACTGACCTGCATGAGCCTCAGTTTCCTCTGCTATAAAATGAGATAAAACTCCCTACTTGTAGTTTTATCATAAAGATGAAGAGCAAGAAGCACTATTTAAAATAGGTAAAACCCTGAAAGAACCCAAATGCCCAAAAATGGATGACTGGATCAAGAAGATGTGGTATATATACACAATGGAATATTATTCAGCAATCAAAAAAGATAAACTCATGCCATTCTCAGCAACATGGATGGAGCTAGAAGGAATTATGCTCAGTGAAATAAGTCAGAAGGAAAAAGAAAAATATCAGATGGCTTCACTTATAACAGGAATATAGGGGAACCCAATAAGACATAAGTATAAAAAAATAATAACAGTACAAAACACAACAAAGCAACAACAGACAATTATAAACCAGCGACATCCTGCAAGGGAGGAGGCGGGAGAGGGATCAGAGGGAGGGAGGGAGGAGCACCGGGGACTGTGGTGATGGTGCACGGGTGCCTTGGGGGAGGAAACTCTAAGGGGACCACACCTGAGGGGGTGGGGGGAAGCAACTATTGTTTAAAAAAATTAAAAATTAGAAAAGGAAACTATGAACTAAAGAAAAAAACTAACACCTCTTGACTACTACTGAAGAAACAGTGACAATGTATATGTACAGATGTGACACAATTAAAAAAATGGACTATAAATAAAAAAAAAGAATAAAAAAGATTAAGAGCAAGAGTGGAAAAGCATCAGGTTCAGAAGATTTCAACAGCAGATGGCTAATAATGTTCCAGAGGGATCATGTTGGCAGGGCCCCAGCAAGATGCCAGGTGAATGGAGACTTTGGAACCTATTTAGTACCTCCAGCCCCGAAGCTCCTCCTTCCCGGCCACCTCCCAGACACTCTTCCTCCGTGGAGGTTTTTCCAAAGTGGGGCTGACCCGCAGCTCTGTGCCCGGGAGTGGGCATGGCCGCCACCGCTGTGTCTGCCTCCCTCCATCCCTGCCCAGACTGGGAGCCGTCTCTGCCTCCAGGCCCTGCCACCCACTCTGCATCAACCCCCACGCTGAAACTGACTTCAGCTCTTGCCTTCAGTTCCACCAACACCTCCACACCCCATTCCACCTGGCGCCCCCTCCAGCCCCATACCTGGAGTCAGATTAGACATTCCCTCCTCCAGGAAGCCCCTTCCGTGAGTGCCCGGGCTGGCTGATGCCCATCTTAGTGGTCCTCCAAGGACCCTAGAATCAGGGCAGGGGCTGACCTGCTACCCAGCTCAGTGCCTTGGTGAGCCCGTGTCCACATACGTGGCTGGGAGGCGGGTGAGTGCTCCCTCCAGGCTGAGCTACGGCGTGGGAGTCAGCACCCCGCTGCGGGGCTCCTGGTCCTGGTCTTCACTTGCAGCTGTGGTCTCACTTACCCGCTGCCGCCCGGCCTCCAATACCTCCCTGCAGCTGGGTCTGCGCGCTCGCCTGGCACCTGCGCCCCCGGGGGCAACCTCCGGTCCTGAGGCTGAGCCCCAGCTCATGTCTGCATCTACACAACTGAGCTCGTTGTGGCTGGGTTTGCCCTGACCTTTTTCTTCCTCTCTGAGTTCCTCCCAGAGAGTCTCCGGTAAATCTTGCTTGCTCGATCTTCCCAGGTCTTCAGCCAGGGCCACGGCAGCAAGGTGACCTGGGCCAAGTCCTGCTACATCAGAGGCGGGACCCCGGGGGCCACCGTCTCCTCCCCACTCCACCGGCACCAGGTGCCGGTGCTCCCCTCAATGATGCTGGAGTAGCCCAGCCTGTGGCCAACCCCCCTCTCGGCCTGCCCCCTGGGGTAGAGGCGCTGACTTACAAGTGAGGTGGGCGTGGAGGAGGTGCTGCTGGGCTCCATGTCAAACACAGTCTCCCTCTCCTCCTCGTGCTGCGCGGAGAGAGACGCGGAGGGTCATAAACAGAGGGTCTGCCCTCTGCCCCCGCCCTCCCCACATTCAGGGGGGCTCCTGGGCTTCTCACTCCCCTTGATCTCATCTTCTGTTGTTTCCCAGGCCTTCACCCGAGGACAGGACCGAAGCCCAGGGTGGTAGAGAGGGGGCTGGGATGTTAGGGGAACCTTCAGGCACATTCCATTCTCCAGGGCCGTAATGGAGGACATAAGCAGAGTGGAGACTGGGGTTCAAAGAGGAGCCTGCTTGGGCTCTAGGAAAAATCCTTGACTTCAACTCTCTCTTCCCGGGAGGCCCCTCTACCGGGAACAAACCCTAAACCAAGGTGCTCTAGGTCCTCCGCCACCTTCATCCTGAGAGCAGACGCTCGGGCACCCAGATCACTTGGCGTCGTTGCATCGGGAAGAAAAGCCAGAGGCGCCGTTGGCTGTGGCCCTTCACGAGCTGGACGCTCAGCCCTCCAGGGGACAGGAGGGGGGCCAGGCAGGGGGGCTCACCAGACAGGGAGCCGCGGGAGGCAAGGCGGTCCTCTTCCTTTGATTCGGCAGTATGCCAGTATTTTAAATCAACTTACTTTCTTCCCCTTATACAAGGGGGAAGGAAATAATTCACCATTATTGACAGAAAGCCTGTCAGTTGCCATCCACAGAAGGTTAAGTGGAAAAATTCATGGGTAACCATGAAGAATACTTGAGTGCACTGGAACTCATTCCAACACGCCCCTGCAGACACCCACTTTGAGAACTGCTGATGGGGCGCACACACGCCCCTGGCATGACTCCCAACAGGAAAGGACTGGCTCCCTTTTGGAATGATCTGGGCCCCCAGGGCCAGGCTTGTTCTACAGACAACCTCAGGCTCAAAACCCTGGAATGCGGAGACAATGACTGTCCCCCTTCTGCAGGTGACCATCCCTTACCACCCCCACCCTCTCTCTCAACTCCCCATCACTGGGATGCTGCTCCCAGCTCAGTGGCTGGACAGCTTCACAGTGTAGGAGGGACGGGCCAGGAGCCCGTGGTTGGAGGAGGTGACAGAAGGGGCGGGAAGGAGAGGACAGCTGTCTTCCAAATTTCCCCACCCCTGAGGTATGATTCTAGGGGTGAGAGCTGGGCCAGGGGCAAGGATATACGGGCATGCGCACACAGGCCTGGGGACCTCACCCCAGAATCACAGGAAGGCAAGGACCTCTTTATTCCTGTGGTGCTGTGGCTGCCCAGGTCAGCAGGGGGTCCTAGAGCTGTGCCCCCCCAGGGGCCCGGGAGCACCAGCGGAGGGAAGGCAGGCCTGCAACTCACCGCGAGTTCATGCACCGTGCGAAGTCTCCCCAGAAGAGTGCCAAAGCAGGCAATTACCATGGAAAGGACGAGGATGGACAGGGAAAAGAAGGTGATGACATGGGCCGAACCTGCCGAGAGAAGCGGGCGTGGGACGGGGTCCTGGAGGACCGGCGCTGCGGGAGGAGCACGCCGGCAGAGAGGCCACCCAGGCTGGCAGGTACCCGGGAAGCCCCTCCACAGCTCTGCAGGGACTCAGGAGTCGAGGGCAGAAGGACCCTTCCCCATTCGCCTAACAGCTGGGATCCTTGCATCTGCCGCTGTGGTCTCATCCTCTGCTATTTAAGAAGATTAGAATTTGGTATCTGGTGGAACCCATAACAAATTTTTAATTGACTTAAGCATCCACAAAGTGCCCATTCACTCCACTGTCAGTTACCTCCCACGCCATCAAGGTCCCTGGGAAGAATCTCTGAGTCATTCGTTTTTGCCACGGCCCCCAAATGGAGTCTCTGACCCACACCTTGCCTTGTCAGAACTTTGGAAGTGCGCGCGCTCCGGGATCTGAGCTAATAGCACTAAAAAGCAATCAAGGATTTAAGTTCTGTCCATTTCATTTGGGGATATACAGTTACTTTTTAATGAAGTAGCATTAGGTAAATATTAAAAATCAGTCTTTACAGGTAGAGGTTACTGCATAATGATGCTTATGGTTGGAGTTTTAGAACCAGAAAACCTTAACATCCAAGGCTGGAGAAGGGCTGCAGTGGCCAGAATTTAATGCTGCTGTTTAAAAGGCCTGGGCTCAGAGTTTGAATAACACACTATTTTCTTAGCTAGGAACATAATGTGCAGTGAAGGAACTCTGGAGACAAGATTGAATGTTATCAAATGATGCCACGATTTTGTAAAGTAGCAAACTGACTCCCGCTCTGCCCTCCTTCCCCAGATGTGCGCACAGAATGGCATCTGGAGCACAGACTTCAGACTCGGGGACATGATGGGTCATTTGACTTTTGATCTTTATATTTTTCCTATTTTTGATAACAAATGGTCGTCCTTCGTACTTATAGAGAAGTAGGATTAAGACATGCAGTCAGCTAGAGGGCAGGGAATGGCTGCTGGGATAAAGGCGTGGACGAGGTGCCCCAATAACTGAGAACTGACTGCTGCGAGTCAGGCAGGGTAAGAAAAGAGGGACTTGCCCTGCTCGCTGCACGCTGCACGCTGCACGGGGAAGATTAGGGTTAAGTCAAGTCCCTGTGGGAAGGCCAGTGGGGAGAGGGGCCGAGAGGAAGGGGGATGAGCCAGTCTCAGGGAATTTTCAGTCTGGAGCCCATGGGAACTTCCTCTGGAAGGGTGTCCCTGAGCTCACTGGGGCAGGCCGCTCTGTGTAGCCAAGAGTAGGAGAGAAGCTGGCAGCTGGGGCACGCTGCGAGTCTGCCAGGCTCTCAGGCACCCATGAGACCAGACTCTTCTCAGATCCCAGAGGCAATGTCACGGGCAGCGAGGCCCCTGGTTGCTGGCATTTTATTTCCTGCCAGCCTGGAGTAACAACGCAGCAAGAGGACCTTTCTTGTCCTGGGGCCTATACGCCAAATGCACAGTGTGGTTGGCATTGGTTCAAGCCCTTCCCATGGCTGCAAGGATCTGTGGGGTTTGGATGAACTCCTTAAGCCTAGAGAAGCCACCAGGCTTGGCTGCACTTGATAAGCCCTGCTCCTTCGGGGTTTTGCTGTTCTAACAGTTGTTAAGGGATTTACGGAGCAGCAAAGGGCCGAGCAGGCTTGGCACCCACCTAATCGTAGCACAGAGAAGAAGAGCATCCAGAACAGACTCAGGAGCGGTGCAAAGATGGCCTGGCTGACTGCAGCCATGTGGATCTGCTCGTTGAGCTTGGTGGGCGCGTAGGAGTAGTACATGTTGTAGCGGTCCGTCATGTGCTTCATGAACAGGTAGAGCAGGCCTGGGGGCCCGGAAGATGGAGACAGCCTCAGCTGCTGCTTCCACGGTCAGGACCCGTGCAGTCCCAAGGCCCCCAGGGGCCCGAGGGGCCAGATCCAGAGTGGTCAGAGCATCAGGGGCCAAGAGGAGGCTGTGGTGCCGACCTCTGGATCATTCACTCATGCATTCATTCAACAAGCATCCTATGTACACAGTCATCTCAAGTGGTCATCCATCCTCAGTCCTGACTACCTCATCCTCCCCCCTGATCTGGCCCTGGCCCTGACACCTCCATGCCCTGCACCAGGTTCCCTTGTGCTCCAGCGTTAGGGCCCATGTGGTGGCGCTTAGCCCCTCCTCCCATCATGAGAGTGTGCAGTCCTGGGATGATCAGGGATGACTCACCAAAAGGCACAATGATAGGGCAGGTGATACTGTATGCCATCACCACGCTGAAGACATTTATCATCCACGCATATTCTCGCCCATACTGGAAGTCCAAGGCGTGGTCCTGGAGCAGAAGGCAGGGTAACACTAAGGTGGCCTGCTGGCATAGGCTTGGTTGCTTCCGTGGCTGCTCCTTTTCCATCCCCTGGAGCTGGCTAACAGCTCAGGTCTGGAGACAGCCTATTCCACCCCTGGGATCCGAGCAGCACCAGCCCCACTGCAGCAGGCCTCCCTTTTGGGGCCCCTTGGTGCTTCCAACAGGCCCCGTTCCTGACACCCTCCCAAGGGCCTTGAGGGCCATTCTGAGGGAAGGGTCCGCCCTCACTTTTCTGATGTGGACTCTCTCTGGCTCCGACTTGGAGAAAAAGAGGCGGGTGCAGTACAGTATGAGAGACCCCGGGCGTAACAGCTCCATGCCTGTGCCAATCAAAGCTGCCGTGATGACGTAGTTGACGAAGAAGGCGCCGTTGTCTGGCAGGAACACACACCTGGGCGTGGGGGAGAAGGGAAGACAGCAGCAGGAGCCAGGGGAGAGGCGGAGGGCAGAGGTGTTGGGCAGGAAGAGGAGAGTAGGGGAGGGAGCGAGCCGAGGGAGTGCAGGTGGGGTGGAGGCAGAGATGGGGAAAATGAATTTCCTATATACAAATGAGCTTCCAGCGCAACTGAAGTTCACGAGAGCAGGGAGGGGGATGGTCTGCAGAAAGTGTGACGATGTAAGGAGATATACGCTCTGGCTTGATCTGAAGCTGAGATATTTGGTCTGGAGCCACAAACCAAAGGAGAATTTGGAGGGACTGTGACCATGAATGGGGAAAAAAATTGCATTTTTATTTCACTAACCTCTGACTACAATTTAGCACTTCTTTTGATTGTGAACATGGGAACGAACCACAGCAATGTCGGCCACAGCTGTGAGTCTGTCCCTCGCGGGCTGTGTCAGATCATGGAGCAGTCACAGCTGATAGCTCACAATAGCAGGGTGCTCGTCACCCCTTAAAGTGATGGTAGCTACGAGGCATGCAGCCAAGTTACACGAGACTGCCATCGTCCTGTCTGCACATGTGTATCAGATGTTTCGGGCCAACGTTGGCTGGGATGGATTCCTTCAGTCACCCAGTGGGCGAGCTGCCTGCCTCACCCTGGTGACCAGGGTGACTCTGGCTTTACAGTGTCGCATCTACACAATTCTGTCAACTCCCTCGAAAAGAGACATCTTGTCAACTTCCTCGAAAAGAGAGATCTGAAAGCCCCTGGACATATTTCAGGTCTCTTTCAAAGGCTATTTTTTCTGGATGACATCCAAGTTGAGTGATGGGCTCACACTGCTTCCCTCCCCATACGTAAACTATCCTGAAGACACTGACCTGTCAGAAGAAGGACTCATTCATTTTTTTTTTTGGGGGGGGGGGGAACCCAATTTATTACAATTATAGTTCCATGGCAGATACCTTGGAGAATTCTGGTTCCTGCCCTATAGTTAGGGAAGCTTGATGGTCATTTGCAACATTCTGACTTTTGAAAACTTTTTCAACATTTGTACCCCTAAAAACGAAAAACTCAAATGACTGTCTAATACCACTGCATGTTGCCTTGTCAAAGGTGCACGCCAGCCCCAATGTAATGCTCTTTTAAGTTTTATCAGCTCTCACACTGATGCACACTGCAACGAAGTAACAACAAAACTTTAGCCTTGCCTGCATTTAAAATGCATTGTCTTACTATTAAATGTGTTCATAGAGATCACTACCAATTTAAGTTTTAGAATATTTTCATCAAACATTTCACTATATTTGGTTTTCTTGAAAACCAAGTATATTGTGCACCTAAAGCTAACTCTTCTGCGTGTATGAAAAACTGGTGAAATCTGAATGCTGTCTGTGGGTTGCAGTAAGGCCAGTTTCTGTCTGCGATATTATGCTGTAGTTATGCAACAGGCTACGCTGGAGGAATCTGGGGGAAGGGATCACAGCACATTTATGGGGTTCTTTTTATGGATCTAAAATTATTTGAAAAATATCATTCAGAGAATGGCCAAAGCGGCCCATGGCACCAGGAAAGAGTAGGAGGCTGCCTAGTGAGGGCGCCTGCATGCACTTATCGCTACCAGCGTGGGAAAATAAGACTACACATGTCCGGCTGATGTGAACTACACACAGGGAAGGCCCAGTGTCCCCTGGAACATGCATTCGGTACTCACTGGAACCTGATGGATGCCTGTTCCAGATAGTAGATGTCAAAGAGCCAGCGCAAAAAGACATCCAAGCTAGAAACAAGAGCAAGACAGGCCCCATAGTTAATGAACCTATGAGAAAAGGCCTATGAACCTAGGAGTTCAATGCCTCTTAGACTGGCTTCCCTCTTCTATCTGCCCATGCCCACCCCCAAAGATGTTGCCACCTAATATTCCAGCTAGCCAGTCCACATCGCCTCTCTTCCTTCCGAGTGTGGGGCTTTCCCTGTCCCTCACCCTTTGGCCTTTCAACCTCAGGCCAATTCCTCCAGCAAACCTTTGTCAGCTATTTCTCCTGGTGTTCTCTCCTGAATTTTTACTGCGAGTTGGCTGTTTCCCCCACCTGGGCTGGCAGGCAGCTGATAGGCATGGCGGCTTTTCCCAGCTGATGATAAACTCTTTGAGGGCAGGGTTTATGGCTGAATCTGAGAGTACCTGGCTCATGCTAGGTTCATGACAGGCACTGGGCTGTCATTTGAGGACTAGATTTGCAGCAACCACAGGAAGGCCTACAGTTTCTGCAAGAGGAGGCGCCAACTCTAGGGTGAGTCTGGCTGTGAGAGGAAGTGTAGTACCTGGTCAACCCCATAGAAGGCAGAATGACCACCATGAACACCAGGAAGATATAGCACTTGTGCACTATGATCAGATTCTGACTTGATCTAGAAGGAAACAGAGATGTTCATCAGTGAGAGATAAGAGCCAAAGATCTAACTACAGAATGAAGAGAGAAACTGCTACTTGGCCTAGAAAATTGGCTTGAGTGTATTCCAATGCCATCTCAGGACCCTGATGAGCTGTGCTGCAACTGGCACCAGCAGTAAAGATGAGCATGATCAACTAGTGATGTCTGCCCTGGGCACAAGAAGGGAAGGAGGGCTCTGATTTGTCTAATACTTGACATCTTTGTGTTAAAGGGACATTACCTAGAGTTTCAATAATTGACATAAGCTTTGTTCTTGGCCAGGGGAAAGATTAGTCAGGATTTCTGTTAGGACAAACCTCCTAGTTTACTGCCTGGAAGGATGGTAGGAGTTTTTGATGCAGAGAATAACTTTAAGACCCACACAGTCTTCAGGTCAAAGCAGGAACTTGTCCCAGGACATGGAAAATACCTTCTAGCCAATTAACTACTATAAGGGCACTATAAGGGCTAACAAATAAGAAAAAGCTCCTGATTGTATAAAATGAAAGTACTGTGAGGGCTACACAGTTCATGGGCTCCTCTGATATGGTTACAGGAGCCTTCTTTGGGGGGGTCTCTTCTTATTCTAATCTGTGCGTTTTGCCTGGAGTGCCTAGCACGGCCCGATCTCTGTTTACAGCTCTATCCTCTCAGTGCATGGCTGGAGGCTCAGGGAACAGCCCAAAGATGACATGGTTTTGGCCTCACACCCTTACATGGTGAGATATCTCAATATTCTTGAGGCCAGAGGCTCAAAGACAACTCAGTGCCCTCCATCCAAAGAAAAAAAGATCTGGTAGTTTTGGGTATCAGAGTCATCCTACATCAATTCTATTCCTTTAGCCAGATGAGAAGCCAGAGCACCAAATTGGGGGTGGGGACAGGGACAGGGCTGGGGTCCCTCCCACTCACCTGGTCCAGTGGGCCTCGAGGAAGGCAGAGAAGTAGACAATCAGAGGCAGTATCACTGTAAAGGCCCAGAGCAGCAGTGAGGGGAAGAACTGGGTCACAACAGGGCTCTGCAGGGGTAGAGTAGAAGAGGGCAGGGACATTAACACAAGAAGTGGCTCTTTCCTCACCAGGCTGCCCGGTCTCTCCACACCCAGTCTCAGAGCAGGCCTGGTTTCCCTGGCGGCTGTGCAGTGGGCCTGGCCTTTCTGACCCACCTTCCTTGTCAGAGATCTACCTGTCTGGGGGTGGGCAGAGGCTGGCACCCCCAGGGGCGGAGGGGGTGCTCCCTTGGACACAGAAGAGCACAGGCCTCCTGTGTGCAGGTCCCTGGGGGGGCAGCTTGGGCTTCCTCTAGTGACCACACCTGAAGGCCAGAGCAGCATGTCACTCGTCTCAGACCTCAGGGAGAAGACCTTGACTGTCTCACTCGTGAGAGAAGTGGCAGAGAAGGGGGTGAGGGGATGTGAAGTGAGAACCTCCAAGGAGGGTTGTGGAGCTCCAAGGAGGGTGACTTAAGAGGGCAAGTAAGCAGCAGAAGCGGGTGGCCTGTGCATGAGAGCATGTGTGCATGCATGCGTGTGTGCATGAGTGCATGCATGTGTGCGTGCATGTGTGCATGAGTGCGTGTGTGCATGTGTGTGTGCATGTATGCGTGCATGAATGGCGGAGACAATATGGAAGGAGCGGCCTTTGAAGCCTGTTGTAACAGCCTTGAGGCTACAGAGTTCGGAAACAGGCCAGTGCACTCCTCGGATGCCCTCACCAGAAGGCGGCATCCTCCAACCTCAGGGACAGCGCTCCAGGGTGGGGCACTCCCATTCGGGAGCAGGGGTGTCTGGAAGTGAGGGAAGAGGAGACAGATCTGGAAGTCTTGCTTCTCTCAGAGGGGAGTATGGAACTTACCTCCTTTTTCCCAGCTTCCACCTTACCCTTCAAACCAGGGACCCTAGCTTTAGGGGAGGTGGGGGACACAGCTGACACTCACCACACCCTCTGTTCACCCTTTGTACCTCTAGTTGGCCTAGACTGACCGGATCTAAAGAAGCCCTCTGAATCTAGGCCGGTCTGGACTGCCTACCCCCCAAACTTACCCCAGAAGCTACCTATGCTCCCCACTCTCCCTCTCTTTTCCAGCCCCAGTCAGAGATGGGTAATAACCCGTCTTCACCCCCTTTAAAACTAGGGGCGCTCTAAGCCATATCAGCACCGCTGCCACCTCCACGATGCTGCGTGGACCCTGGAGCTGCGTGCCGTGGCCCGTCACATCCTCGCGGGAGCTCCTCCTTCACCTCTTTGGGGCCCACACGCCTGGCTGAGCAAAGCAGGTACCTGCAGGTTCTCGATGGGGCGGGTGACGTTGTACATGTCGATGGTGTTCATGATGATGGCAGGTGTGGTGAGGAAGAAGAAGAGGAAGAAGAGGGAGGTGTTGATTAGGATAAAGCGGGCCCACCAGGTGAAGCGGCGGACTGACAGGTGTTTCCTGGGGAGGAAGGAAGAAGGAGGTGCACTTAGGACCCCGGGTTCCAGCCCTGAGACAGAGCCCACATGCTGCTTCCTGCATGCCAGCTATGCACCCAGGCTGCCCTGGCCCAATACAACCCCTTGGGGCTCCCACAGCTGAGCCCAGAAATTGATGTGAGCTCTTCCTGCAGGAAAACCCTTTTCTTCCAGGGTGCGGTGCCTTCCATGCTCATGGTGAGGTGGGTTTCAGGAGGGCAGGGGCTGCAGTGCCCAGAAGAGGACATGGCTGCAGGTGGGCAATGAAGTGGGGCGCAGGCCCAATTCCTTTCCCCATTGTTTGCCTTCTTCAGTGTCAGAGGAGCTCTGAGGAGAGGGAGGCAGAGAGGGAGCTTACCAAATAATGTCTTTGGGGTGTGGGGCCAAGGAGATCCTCCACTGGTGGGATTTGACCACGGTGGTGACCGAGGACTGATTGGGGGGTATGCCGCAATGGATGAACTTGTAATCATCCAGGACTCTGCAGAGGGGAGAAGGGGACAGGTCTGGGGGAAAGAACAGGCTTGTGGGGAAGGGGAGTATCTCATGCCAAGGTCCCAGGTCTACTGTGAGGGTTCATCTACTCCCCGGGGATTTGAATAGTCTCAGAATTTCAGAGGTGGGCAGTGCCTAAGGCCTAATGGCTGGAGGGGAGAGGTACTGCAAGGCCCCAGACTGCCCAGGAAGGTGGCATGGGGGTTGGGGGACAGCCACATGTTTCTCAGTTAATATCTTTCCCTCTTAACAGCAGCGATGCCACAAAGACAGGCCCTTTCTGGGAGGTTGGTGGGGAGGTACTAATATCGGTCTTCTCATAATATTAACAGCTACCAATTATTGAGTTCTTTCTGTGAGCCAGATACTGTACAACTGGTGATCAGCATCATCCCGGTTGCACAGATTACTAAATTGAGGTCTGAGTTGTCTGCATATACAGCCAAAGAGGGGTAGATGCTGGCACTGGCGCCCTGTCTTTGGTCTTTGACTACAATTTTCTGTAATTAAACCCCAGCTCCTGTCTACCCAGTGACAGTACCTTGGACAATAAACCACATTGTCTCATGCAGGCATGTTCTCATATTTAATGCACACTAAATTGTCCCCCTAGGAGGTAGACAGGGAAGACAGAAGTAATCCAGTTGGACTGGTAAGGAGTTTGAGAATGTAAACAACTTGCAAAATTGCACACAATTTTTTTTTTTTTTAATTGCACACAATTTTTTGTGACTAAGTTCGGGGCTGTTCCAGTGTTCCTCTGTAGGGCTGGGTGGGTGAGGACAAAATCCTGATCATGTTGTGATCAGGCCCCCTCAGAGAGAGAAAGACCCCCATAAACCTTAGGAGACTGACTTTGGGGCTCCCATCTATTTGATGCAGTCCTAAGGATCCTTCCAGAACATTCTAGAGTGGGTCTAACCCATTCCCTACCAAGGGGGGTTGCCAGACGCTAGAGAAGAGGAGGGGGAAACAGGGAGGTTATGAAGCAGGAGAGGAGAGAGGTCAAGCGGGCCTTCTCTGCCCTGACTCTCACTCATGGTGAAGAGAGGGGTGACATGTAATGAGAGAGAAAATGGATATCATTTTTGTCAAGGCCCGAGACAGGAACCAAGGGGTCAAAAGCTACTCTACCTATCTCTGTGTTGAAGTAAGGGCTTATGGGAATAAGCTGCCCAGGGCCTATGCAAATCTGGACACAAGCTGAGCCTGGCAGCTGGAGAAAATGGAGAGACGTGGCCATGCTCTGGAAAGCAAGACGGCACTGCCTGTGAGGAGCAAGGAGAGGTAAGGGAGGGTCAGAATATGGCGGAATGGAGGGAACTTCTTTCTCCTCCCCTTGGCTGGAGTGGTGGTGAGAGGGCATGGTTCCAGAGAAGTAAAGGCTATTCTTGGGGCTACTTTGGGTACAGCAAGCCACCGGCCTTGGCACTCACTGCTTTGCCATCCTGGAGCTCTGGAAGGTGACAAAGATCAGGTCCAGACGCTTCATTCGGACTCGGTTGAACTCAGCATTGAACTCGTCGGTCAGCTGCTCCTCGAGCTCACTATAATATTGCTCGGCGTCAACCTGGGGTGAGATGTGGCCCTCAGAGCTGAAGCGGTCAGAGTGCTAGGAAGGGCTCGCCTGGATGTGGGCCTCTCTCCCCTCTGCAGCTCAGGGGGTGCAGGTCTGAGGCCCCAGTTCCAGCTCTCTTTGAAGCCCATCCAGGTGGGCTCCAAGATCCAACTCTAGAACAGGAAGAGGCTCTGACTCTGCCATTAGGCACTGGTGGGGGGAGGGAGTGTTGGGGGAGTAGGTAAGAGGTGCTGTCAGACTCGGGGTGGACTCTAGAAGAACACATTTGCAGCATTTTCAGGAAAGGGGATGATCCTTTTCCTTGACAGGCTGGCGGTTCTTCCTGCCCTGAGCAGAGTTCATGTCTGGGGCCTCCTTCAGCTGTAATATTGGGGTGAGAAGCTGGAACCCACTGCTTTCAACTATTCCTGCCCCAGCTTGAGGCCTGGCTACTGACAACAGCCTGCTGCGTGCTCTCGGGCCTTCCCATCCAAGACCAAGCCTCCAGGATCACTCTAGAGGTGGCCCCAAGAACGGCTGCAGCTCCTCTGCATTCTCAGCCAAGAGTGAGACATGGGGGGACGGAAGGGAGGAGCCACAGCCCCGGGACCACCCAAAGGGGGTCTGGGACCCCAAGATTTCGATGAGGGGCACTGTCCAGAGCCCTGGACAGAGCCTGGAGCCCCAGTATTCCCCCCCACCTCCTTTGCTGTGCCCTTGCCACCCTGGTGGCTACCTCTTTGAAGCAGGTCCAGCATTTGCAGAAGCAGAGGCGGGAGCAGGGGTGGATCTTGATCATCACCTTCCCACTTTTCTTGGCCTTGGCGGTGTAGTAGAGCCGGCCCCGCATGGCATGACGTCTGCAGGTCAGTGGGCAGAGGGGTGGGTGGGTTGGGGTGGGAAGACTCTTGTGATCAGGGACCAACAGAAACATCCTCCTGTCATCCCCACCCCAGGGGGAGACAAGCTGATGGCAGCTCACCTCTGATCATCCAAGTCAACCAGGGTCCTGACGTCATAGCAGAAGTGGACTCTGGTCACCACGCACCCTTGATAGGCCTCCCTGCAGCCACAAACACAGATGCTGAGCCCCCTGTGGGGCTGGGAGATTGCGGTCTCCACTCTGCCCAAGCTCCGGCCCACAGGCTGGGTGGCCCAGCTGCCTGTGCTCCCTGGGTCTTAGGCAGGAGAATCATCCCTGGCTCCTAAAGCCAAACTCCAGCATTCCCTGAGATTTGCCACATTCTTTCCAGCGGGCCTCTGGGACAGGGCTGGGGCAGATCGTGAGCTGGGGTTAGGAGCTTGGGTCACAAAGGGTCTCCTGTTGAACTGCTGGGTAACTTTGGTCCAGGAATTCCCTGGGCCTCGTAGTTGGAGAAACGAAGGGAAAGGAAGTTAGTGTCACCCCATCACACCCATGCCATGCAGGAAGCCCCTAACTTCAGAACCTGCTCCAGTCCCAGCGCCTGCCCCATTCTGAAGGGCTGATCCTACAGCAAAGTACCAGGGAGTCCCCACCTGGGGACCACTTGCCCACCATCCTGTGCCAGCTCACCACCCAAGTGAGGATCCATGCAGGGTGACTGGGAGGTGGCAAGCCACGCCTCAGCCCATCACCCCACTTACTGGAAATGCTTAGTGATGATTTCTGGGTCTTGGATGTCCTTGGGGACAAAGGCGATCATCAGCGTCTTTGAGGCCTAGAGAGGGAGGGATGGAGAAAGGAGGCTGTGTTCTCCCGAAGTCTCTGAGTAGGCCTCCTGGCTGCCGAGGCCCAGTGCCCCCCTGCTGGGTCAGCCAAGAGCCAGGTTCTCAGGCCGCATCCCTGAGGTCATCAGGCAGTGGAGCCGCAGGCAGGTAAATCACACCTGCCGTTCCCAGTCCCTTCGCCCTGGCCCCAGCCGCTAATGACTGTGGCGAGGGAGGAAGAGCCAGGCCTGTAGATGGGGCTGGGGTGGCCCAAAGGCCCTGCACTGAATCTGGTGGCTCTGAACCCCGTGTGAAGTCCCACGTGGTGGGGGCTGCCCTCAGCCAGAGTGGGTGGGGATGGAGAGGCCAGCTGGGCTCGGGCAGGGTTGAGAAACTGTCCAAACCAAATTTTCTTCTGGGAGTGGGGCACGTCTTCCTGAGTCATGGCCTCAGTGACAGCCTGGGAGACTGCTGCAAGAGAGGGGGTCTTGGCAGAAGCTTCCGGTGACAAGATGGAAAGACTAGTCAGGTTGCCCGAGCCTCCACGCCTGGCAGGTCAGGACGTTCAGGGAATCTTTCACGGCTGTGTAGATTTGCATCCTGGGGTGGGGCCAAGGGAATCAGTCCTTCAGTTTGGATGAACTCGAAGGTGCTGATCCCACTCGCTGGACTTTGATAGGCTCAGGATGGGCGCCAAGGACACTCCACCAACCTGTCTCACTTCCCATCGGTGCCGGACAGTCGTGTCCCTTCCCATGGTGCTGGCGCGCTCAAGAGCCAGGCAGCACCGCCACTGCCTGGGCCGCCCCAAAGGTAGCTGTGCACTTCAAACACCGGGCTCAGTTTGCACCCTCTTTTCTGGTGTTGGGGGTGTACTCAGCCCACTTCCAGAGCGAGCAAGGCGTGGAGGAGGTAAAGCACCCCACGCAGTCCTCTACCAGTGAGGGACTGGGTGCCATGCCCCAGGGCTCTCCCCTAGGCTGGATGCCCTACACCTGGACACCATTATGGGTGACGGGCACTTGAACGCAAGGGGGAGCCCTGGCCACCAGGTGTCTCACAGGGCTAAGAGGAGGCTTGCCTGGCTCAAGGACACTACCTCCAACAGGTATGCAGGAGGTGCCAAGCTGGGGTGTCTCTGCAGGCTGGAGTGGGAGGGTCCAGTAGGGGGGGGGCCAACAGCTGGGAGGGAACAGCTCCGCTAGCGCATTTTACTTACTCACCTTGTAGCTCCTCTTGGGCACAAACCCTAAGCAGTGATGAGCCATGAAGATGATGTTGGCGAGGAAGTAGAAAAAGGAGAAGAAACAGTGGAGCCACAGGATCTTATTCCTACCAGGAAAAGACACAGGAGGGTGAGGCCACCCTCCCCCAACCCCCCCAGTCGTCCTGGACCACCTTCTGGTGCTCCAGCACCCAGGCACTTGGAAGGGGGTGGCCACGGAGAGAAGGGTGTCCCACTCCAGACTCACATGTACTGAGTGCCCACTCTAGCCCATGCCCGGAGGAACAAGATACTTTCTAGACTCCTGTCCCATGTGAGGGTGGGGCTGTAACTATGTGCATTTCACCTGCAGGCAAAGAGGGTCACAGAGCTGGGTGACCCGGCAGGGGTGGCAGCCAGGGCTGCAGATGCCCTAGACTCCTTTGATTTTTTGCATAAAAGAACTGGGGTGTGGGCCAGAGGTGCAGGGGTTGAGAGGATTCACCAGAGACAGAGTGGGGAACAGAACAGGCAGACTGACTGAAATACACTGCTGAGGGGAGCAGCGGGCAAGACATGTGCCATGTGGGTTGCTCCCTGGCCAGGAATGGATCTCAGGCCATAGTGGTGATAGTGCTGAGACTTAACCCCTAGGCCACCCCAGGGAGGCCCAGAAGCCCTAGACTCTTTTTGGCTATGTCAGGCTGGCGGCAGCTGAGGGCTGGAACCCCACAGCTGCCCAGCAGGCCTGGCAGAGGCCACACAGTCTGTGGTGAAGGACTCGGGGCCCTCTAGAGGCCCACAAGGAAGGAGACCCAGCCATTGAGAAAATAGACCCACTGGTACCTTGGCCAGACCTGGTAGACTTCCCAACAAAGCTGAAGCAGCACTTCCCACAAGTGTGAGTGAGGGTTCCCAGGCTCCCACTCCACTCCGCTCCCCCACCTGGCTCCCTCTGCCCCTGCGTCCCTGCAACCCATCAAATGCCAAAGTCATCAGAAGGGGACCCCAGCATCTCCTGGGGTACCAATTCTAGGGCACTTAGAATTCGGGTTCAGGTGACACTGCCTGGAGACCTCTGGCCAGGGTGGCTGTTCAGAAATCGGGTCTGCCTTCTATAGTGTGGTTTGAGGGGAGAAAGGCTGCCTCACTTCAAAATGTATCCGCACGATTTGTCCCATAGGCTGACATTTCACTTAACATTCCCCAACTCTGGCTGCTCTATCCGCAGCTTCCTTAGAGAGGTGAGGCTATGTGGCCTCTTAGGAATATTCCAGCTCTCTGCCACATTTATGGGTGTGGAAGGCTCTTTGCCTCCCTGTTAAAATTCACCCCTGTTGGGCAGGGACAAGTACCCCTATACCAGGGGCCGGCTTGGGGAGGCTGGTAGGCACTGCACTGGGGTTGGCAGCACCTGGAGGAGTTGGCTGAAGGAGAGGTGAGAGGATGCTGGGGTCCCCTTCTGATGACTTTGGCATTTGATGGGTTGCAGGGACGCAGGGGCAGAGGGAGCCAGGTGGGGGAGCGGAGTGGAGTGGGAGCCTGGGAACCCTCACTCACACTTGTGGGAAGTGCTGCTTCAGCTTTGTTGGGAAGTCTACCAGGTCTGGCCAAGGTACCAGTGGGTCTATTTTCTCAAGATGGACCAGCAGGGCCACGTCTGGCTCAGAACAGAATGATTTAGCTACCAATTGTATTAAGTGATAGTAAAATTCACAGGGTCCAGAAGCATCAGGGATAAAGGGGGCTTGGAGATCATGCCCAACAGCTCTTCTCCTGCCAGGGACTAGGGAGGAGGTTCAGCGAGGGCGGGAGCACCGCCCAGACTCTGGCCAGCTAATGGTCATGAGGCTCCCACATCCTCTGCCGTGGGAGTCGGGTCGGTGCATAAGGGTTGATGTAAGCCCACTTTGTGGGAAGGGAAACATGTTAAACCTCTAGTTAGGATCATATTAAGCAAATAGGATCATCTTTCCAAGTCCCCACCAGAGAGTCAGGGACACCGAGGCACCAGCATCCTGCCCACACCGCTGAGAATGCAATTCGGCACCCTTCCCGGGACGCATGTGCCCAAGGAAAGCAGGCCTTTCTCTGAGCAAAGACAGTACAGGCCCAGGTGATGGACCTTCTCTTCCCAATGCCCCTCCCAGCCAACAGAATGGGAGGTAAGAGGATCAGGTACCTACTCTGTGGAGATATTGACGATGGTGGTCCGCCCAAAGTGACTGCTCCATTCTGAAAGAAAAGAAGGTGGCTGACCTCAAGCCTGGCTCCTCAGCCTGGCTGCTTGGGGGCCAGGATTCACATTCCCAGATGAATGCCCAGGTCTCGAGGTGCCCACCTCTGTGACACGCTTCCTTCTTGTCTCCAATTGCAACAAAAACAGCAGCGGACTCTTCTCCCTGGGGCTGCTGATTGGGACTCCCGGGCTGTGAAGTGTGTGGGGTGTGGCCCCCCCCAGGGTAGGACTGGCCCAGAGACACAGGAAAATGCTTGTGGAAGGGACTGGGCTGCAGGCCATGGGCAGAGATGACATGAGCAATACTGTTACCAGGGGCACCAACCACGGAATCCAAAACACCAGAGACTGTGATGCTGTCTTACTTGCACAAAACCAACCTTTCTGGCTAGGTGTCTTAGTTTGTCTATTTGCACATCAGCAGAAATGTGTCTGGAAATCCTGTGTTATTGCCAACATGCCAACATGTTTAGAATTTGGAACGATAGGACTCGGAAGTTATTTACTCTGGGAGCAGTACTTGGTGGCCTGGATATTCAGCGTGCTACACCGAATTAACCGAGGTCTACCTCTGGCCGAGGGGAAACAAGGAGCAACCCAAGGAAGCGGGTGGCCAGCCGGGCACTTGAGGGGCTGTGCTGCACCTGCCACCTGTGCACAGAGCCCTGTGCTGCGTCTATTTGTCGGGGAAACAGTGACTGTTATTATTGAGGGCCTCCTACATGGCAGGGCCTTGCTTATCTCCCAATCCCCACAGCAGTAGGTTAACTGAGGCCTTGAGATCTGCCACTGTAAGGTGAAATAATGTGATGGAGTGATGGACAGAGGTATTTTCCAGAAAGCAGATGTGGGTCCAAGTTGTGGAGTTATGGTTTTTCTCTCTTTAAAACCCAGGCTCTCACCCATATGTAATTTTGTCACAAGGACTGATCCTGTTATTACAACTGTGGGCAGACATCCCGTGAGGCACACCACACGCTGGGAGCTGTGTCCATTAGAGTGGGCCCAGGGAGAAATCAGGTTCAGGGCTCTTTGCGGTGGGTCGTACAAGGGCCTGGTGAATACCTGGTCAGCACTGGTAGGGGGTTATAGACAAAGAGTCAGTTCCAGAACTGGGCCAAACGTGACAAGGAAGTAGCACCCCCAGTCTCCACAGAAGACTGAAGAGAGGTAACATGTTATTAACATGACCACTAACTTCCAGGAGGATGATTAAAATCCAGATTTATAGATGCCGAAGACCCACACCCTGGCCCGCCAGCCAAGCTGCCTTAGGTCTGTTGGTGCCGGCCCAGGGCCTGCTGAGCTCTGCCTACCCAGAATTTTTCCAGTGTAGTTGATGGGCAAAATGATGCCCAAGGAGGGGACGCAGAGGATGAGGACGAAGAGGATGAGATGGTACTGGAACATGATGTAAATGCGGGCGTCATCTCCGCACTTGCTGATTAGATCTTCGTTCCTGGAAGAGACACAGATGGGACATTCCTCAGGAGCCAGTGTGGTCACGGCTTAAGTGGGGGCACCGTGTTTCATAGAAACACTTAGTATACATTTATCATAAATTTAGCTCTCTAAATGATAACAGGGTTCTCTAGTTCCACTATACCAAAATCCAGTGAACAAATACATTCATGATATCCACAAAAGATTTTATACATACAATAACTACCTCTAGAAACTTTTGCCATTAGGGTTTGACAAATAGTGGAAAGAAAATGAATTGGAAAGATGGGACAATTTCCTCATCTATAGGCAGATTTAAAAAAAAAAATCTATGTTTACAATGGCCAATTTTGATTAAGAATAATACTTGTTACCTGTACCCCTATGTTTATTGCAGCATTATTTACAATAGGCAAAACCTGGAAACAACCCAAATACTCAAAAATGGATGACTGGATCAAGAAGATGTGGTACATATACACCATGGAATATTGTTCAGCCATCAGAAAAGATAAACTCATGTCATTCACAGCAACGTGGATGGAGCTAGAAGGAATTGTGCTCAGTGAAATAAACCTGAAGGAAAAAAAAATATCGGATGGTTTCACTTGTAGCAGGAATATAGGGGAACCCAGTAAGACATCAGTGTAAAAAAATAATAAGAGCACAAAACACAACAAAGCAAAAACACGATCATAAACAGAGACATCCTACAGGGAAGGAGGCAGGAGAGGGAGCAGAGGGAGGGCGGGAGCAGAGGGAGGGAGCACAGGGGACTGAGGTGATGGTGCACGGGTGCCTTGGGGAAGGAAACTCTATGGGGACCACACCTGAGGGGGTGGGGTAAGCAACTATTGTTTAAAAATGAACAATGATGTAAAAATTAAAAAAAGAATTAATAAAAAAATAATACTTGTTCAATGGAAGGACATTTTCTTTCCCAAGTTTCCTGGCTTTTCTTATCATCTTGATAGGTATCATTTTAATTCTATACGTTTTCCAGCTTCACTGATGGAAATAACCCAGGAGGTGGTTCTGTGGTCACCTCGTAATGACTTACAAGCTGTGGAAGCCTGAGGTGTACAGCGTGTTCACCTGATTCACGCACACATTGCAGAACAGTTACCACCAGTTAGCTAGCACCTCTGTCTCCTCACATAATTACCATTTCTTTTTTTGTGGTGAGAACATTTAAGGTTTACTGTCTCAGCAACTTTAAAGTATACTTAAATAAGGGACCAGGAAAATGAATATAAGAAAGTGAAAATCAAAATCAACAAAAAAACTATGAACCAGAGACACTTTTTGGGGGGTGGGGGGCGGGAGGGGAAGGACTGGGGTCAGAATGGGGCGTTTGCAAGTGTATGGGGAATATAAAAATAAAATTTAATATTTAAAAAAAAAAAAAAAAAAAAAAAATAAAGTATATAATCGCCTCATTAACCATCGTCACCAGAATGCAGTTATATCCCCAGGCCTTTTCATCTTATAACTGAGTTTCTACTTTTTTTTTTTTTTAATGTTTGTTTATTTATGCATATAAGAGCTGGGGTACAGGCCAGAGATGCGAGGTGGGGGGGCTGAGAGGATTCACTAGAGACACAGTGGGGAGCAGAACAGGCAGACTGACTGAAATTCACTGCTGAGGGGAGCAGTGGGTGAGACAGGAGAGGTCTGCTGTGCCACGTGGGTTGCTCTCTGGATGGCCAGGGATCGAACGCATGCTGCAGAGGCTGCGGATTGCTTCATAGGTTGCGTCTTAACCCCTTGCACCACCAGGGAGGCCTGAGTTTCTACTCTTGATCAACATCTTCCCATTTCCCTAAACCCACAGGCCCTTGGGACCCCCCACGCTAGCCCCTGCTTCTGTGCTTTTTGACTCTTTTATGGTCCACAGATAAGAAACGTCCTACAGTGTTTGTTTTTCTCAGTCTTATTTCACTTAGCACTGTGTTATCTTCTGTGGCAGGAGTCTCTTCTTTCTCACGGACAATTTCTTTCTCTTTCTTAATCAGGTGGGAGGCAGGTGGACACCATGAGCCACAGTAAGTAGCCCCTCCTCTCCTTCCCCTTTGTCTTCTCCCTGTTGTGTCCCTGGTCACCAGTGCGGTTCACCTGGACACTGGAATAGCCTCCTCAGCTGCTCACTGGCCTTTGCACTTTCTCAACTGGCCACCGTCTTCCCTTACCCGCCACCACGATATTCCTGCCTATGAACTGATCATTATCCTGAGTTGGGTCCGCTACTGCCTGCAGAATAAAGCCCGAATGACAAGACGCCAGCTGATCCTTCCAGCCGAGTCTTCAAGTCCCCTGCTCGCCAGGTACCAGGTTTCTAGCCACAGCAGGTGCGCCTTCTGGACGGGCCTGCCACTCTGCCCCAAGTCTGCTCAGTCATTTCCTTCTGATGTTTCGTCCTCATCCACTGTCAAAATCCTTTCCATTCCTCCAGCCTTGCTCAAAACGATGCTTCTCCTGAAGCTCCTTGTTGGAATTAATTTCTGACTTTCCCAAATGCCCTTCCCACGGCAGTTATAGCCCCTGTCCCCCCAGCACCTTCCCCACTTCACCCCGTTATGAACTATGTGGGCATGTCTTGTCCTGTTTCTTTTTTTTTAAATCTTTCTTTTTTTAAGATTTATTTGTTTATTCAAGAACCGGGGTACAGGCCAGAGGCATGGGAGGGTGAGAGGATTCACCAGAGATAGAGCGGGGAACAGAACAGGCAGACGACTGACATACTCTGCTGAGGGGAGCAGCGGGCGAGACAGGAGAGGTCTGCCGCGCCATGTGGGTAGCTCCCTGGCCAGCCAGGAATAGAACCAGTGCTGCAGAGGCTGCGGACACCTTCACAGCGCTGCACTCAACCTGCTGTGCCACTGGGGAGGCCCTTGTCCTGTTTCTCTAACCAGGCCGTGTGGGCTGTGTGCATGGGGACTCTGACCTTCTGGGTCCCTCCAGGTGGGGCACTAAGTGTCTCTGGACGCTGCTCTGGGAGGGTGCAGGAGGCAGAGCGGGAGGCCCAGCCTTCCTTCCTGTGCCTGAGGGAAGGTCCACACTGATGGGGGAGAGGATTCTCACCCCACTGTGCATGCTGACCTCCCACTGCGGGCAGGTCAGGCTCGCATGTAGACACCTGCCCCTGTAGATTTGCACCAGCGCAGTGACCCGCATCTCGGACTTCACATCACACACACGACAGACACTGACCCACGTGAAGTCTTGTGAGGCTCTGCATGAAAAGAGTCTCCGCCCCCAACACAGACTTTCTTTCCTGCCTGTGTACACCCACCGACACGCCAGCAGACAGCAGAAAGTCAGTCTCGAAGTAGACTAAGGGGTCCATTTTCTTCCCACCCGGAGGATGTGATCAGCTCGGGCAGCCCCCTCGTCTCAGCATCCTTTCCTCTGACCACGCAGAGGGCTGCGTGACCCTCCTTCCTCCTCATCATTCATGAATTTTCTAAATCTGGTAACCCAGAATGAGTCTGTACAGCTTTTCGGATAACAAGCTCCAAATGTTCATACACATTATTGGTTATTTTTAAAATGCAAGAATAGTAAGTGCTTGTTGAAAAGTAAAATTCTCTGAATCTGTTGACAGATTACCTCAGTGGAGGGGTCGTGGGAGGGGCGTGAGAGACTGGAGGTGGACTTTAATGCTTCTCAAGGCAAGCGTGTTTATGTGCACTTATGCTTATTTAAAAATTACTAAAGCAAAACCAGAGAAGGTGCCAAGAAATAAAGGCTCTGCGCCGCCCCCCCGCCACTACATGTGGTAAGATTCCTGACCCCCACACCAACTAGCTAAGTCACTTTCTTGGGACTCGGATGACCAGGAAAGCAGACTGGAGGCCAAGGCCTTGGGGACACCCCCATCAGAGGGGCTGGGGCTCAGACACCAGAGGCAGCTGGTCCGAAGCCTGGTTCTCAGCGCCTAAGGCCAGGGCAGGGTGACTTGTGGCCCCTCTGGGTCCCAGGCCCTTCAATCAGTCTGGGAAAAATGTGCCCTGGTGGGGTTTGCAGGGGTTGGTGGGGTCTTGTGATAATGTATAAATGCCCCCAGCAATATCCTTAAATGCAGGCATGTGGGGAAGAAGGCCTATGAGCCTTTGGAGAGAAGCAAATTAGCAGGTCCAGTCAGACCCCCTGGTGCAAGTGGCCTCTGGGGAGCAGGGAGGCTATACCTCAAATGTAGGCATCAGCAGGCATGGACGGACACTGGGGAGGCGTCTGCAGGATGGTAGGGCAGGGTGGATGTGGCTATTTAGGCAGAACCGGTGATGTACTGGGCTCTGGGGGTGGAGGCAGAGCCGAGTGTGGCTGTGCCCGGTGTGCACACACCTGCACTGGGCACAGAGCTCTGATAAGGGTCTGCTCAGCGAAAGTGTCTGGCTGGCATGGGGGCGTGAGGAGAAAACAGGTGACTTGGGGTCTGTCTCCTTGTCAAGTGGGGTCTGGCACTACAGATACCCAGAAGATGGGGTGGGCTGGGGCTAGTAGCTCTCTGAAGTCAGTTAGCTGAGAGGAAGCCGGCTCTTATGCCCAGGGTTTGTTTTTCTTGCCATTTTTGACAAATACGGTGAATGATGTTCACAAAAATAAAACAAATAATAATAGAGGATGGACGTCTTTTTCTAGAGTGGCTTTCATAAAAGCATTTTCACAGGCACGGGCAAGCGGCCTTGCCTGGAGGCTGCGGGAGAGAGAAGCTCCGGGGCTCTGTCCAGGAGGCATTTTACCCCCTGTGCCCCAGGAAAGCGTGCTCAGCCGGGGCCACTGAGGTGGTCAGTGGGGGCTCAGAATTCAGGTCCAAGCCCAGTCCTGCAGGCTGGGGGCCCCTCCCCAGCCCCTTCCCCCAAAGAAGGCAACACTGTCAGAAGCTCGAAAGCTCAGGCACTTACTTCATGGAGATGGTGTTGAAGAACCAGGTATAGAAGCCCTGGGGAGAGGGAGAGAAAGTGTGAGAAAATCCAGTTCTGAGATTGCAGGCAGCTGGGGTTGGCGGAGCGCGAGGAGCATCCAGACAGGGCCTCCTTTCCAGGCAGGAGACGGGGAAAGTCTGGGTCCTGGAAGGAAACCAGCTGGGCCTGAATCAGTGGTGGCGGTTGAAGGAGATGTCTCCCTAGCAGTGAGGTAACATTTCCCAGCCCTCCTGTTAGAGCAAATGGGGGCTTGGAGTGGACCTAAGGGAGAGCAGGGACTTGCTCTGGAGTGGACATCCACTGCTTCCTTCTGGAACGTGCCCTTCCCCGAGGCCCGTGGCCTGGAGCGCTGTCTGTCTCCCACCAATGCGAGCATGACCCTGGGGGACCCATCAAAATTCTACTAAAGGGATTGATATTGGTGTTGGGAGAGAGGGTCTCTCCTCTTCTGACTTCCTGAGCCTTGGTAAGCACCATAAATCCTAGAGATCTGGTGCCATTTTGATGCCACATGCCAAGGGCTTGTCTGAGAAAAAGAGCCTTGTCCTCAGAGGACAGGGGACAAGACGGGGTGGGGAAAGGATCCTGGTGGCATCGCCGGAGTTCCTGGATCAAGCTGTAACTGAAGCAGGTACTTCTCTTGGATTTCCCCACACTCAAGCCACTTGATACCCTTTTGTTGTAATGCTAGTCTGAGCTGGGTTTCTTTCTTTTTTTAAAAAAAAGATTTATTTATTTATGCATGCAAGAACTGGGGCACAGGCCAGAGGCGCGGGAGGTGAGAGGACTCACCAGAGACAAAGTGGGGAGCAGAACAGGCAGACTGACTGAAATACACTGCTGAGGGGAGCAGTGGGCGAGACAGGAGAGGTCTGCTGCACCATGTGGGTAGCTCCCTGGCCAGGCGGGGGTCAAGCTCGTGCTGCAGTGGCTGCAGATAGCATCACAGTGCTGTGCTTAACCACTTGCGCCACCAGGGAGGGCCTAGTCTGAGCTGGGTTTCTTCTCCTGAACCTGAGGATCCTGTAAACTGTGCCTTTCTCGGGGGGGCTTTGCTGTCTGGAGTTTCTGGGTGGTGGGGAAACGTGACCTTGGCCATGGGGGAGTGGGGAAGGGGGCTAACTTGGGAAATATGTGCATGAGGGTGGACTGTATCCTGGTACGAGCTTCCTTCTGTGATCTCAGTGGGTTTAGCACAATCTTGGAAAGGGCTGCAGGTCTTGATTTGCTCCAAGAGTGAACCAGGCAGACCCACTTGGTTGACAGGCCCCCAGAACCACATGGCATCGGGAAGGACTATTTCCCAGAGGAAGCAATGAGGGGCAGGAGAACAAGAAACAGAGGGAAGTTCCCCACTCCCTCCAGCATAAGGCCCATTTCTAAGTCCCCTTCTGGTATTTGGTTGACTAACAGTGGGAAGGCCCATCTGGGGGAGTGTGAGCCTCGGGGGGGACCATTCCCCTACTGTGTCCTGGGAAGCTGAAATCAGGACAGATGCCCGGGTGTGAGTCAGAGACACGAAGGGGGACAGCATGACTGGGAAGCCCCAGGGAGGGGTTGGGCTGAGTCCAATCTTCCCTCCCTTTCTGGGGAGATTTTCTCCACTGTGAACCTTTGGACAAACAGGAGTGCAATTTACCAAAGGAGCAAGTAGGTTTATTGGTGGGCCCTGGGGAAGGAGGGCACACCTTCCTGGGAATCGCTACCCCTTCCAAGACGGATGCACGGGGGTGCACTGCACAGGGCACAGGTGCATCCTGGAAATGGCTCAGGACTGGACCATTCATGGAAGGGCAGAGGTCATGAGGAGGTGTGACCTGTGTGCCCATGATGAAAATTTATAGACACAGATATGTGAGCGAGCATGTGAGGACCCATCTCGCGTGCACACACATACACACATACTCCTGCACATACATGGAAGCTCTAAAAGGCTTAAACCATTCAGAAAACTTAGCAGGGCTGAGAGGCAGATGCCATCTACCCTCTATCCCCCTACCTCACCCACAAGATAACAGGAGCCAGCTCAGGTGACAGAACCAAGTGACAGTGCTTGGCTCACTGCGCCACCCTCCCCACTCCACACACGGGAGTGTCCTGATTTACCCGGGGTACTGTGGTGAGACCCACTGGCTTTGCCCACACCATGCAGCCTGGCCGAGCTCCCTCATCCTGGCTCCACTACTATAGAGGCCACTGCTACAGGGTCCCCTTTATCTGTCTTCTATCCTCCTCAGTTTGACCACCCCACTCAGCCACACTGATTTGTCTCCTATTTGTAAAGAACATAACGCTCTTTTTGTCATTGTACAAAAAAAATCCCACAAACAAAACCAAGCACACAACGAGCCAGGGTGATGTTTCTAAACATAGCCCCGAGAGCCACCGTGCAAGGCAGGTGTTACCGTCCTGATTCGGCGGAGGGAGCCTCCAGGCCACGGGCTTCTCTGCAGCTCCCACTCTGTTCCAGGCACGTCCTGGCAGGTAAAGGGACCTGGTCTTTTGGAGGGATGATCACAGAAGGCTTGTGGTTCAACTCTCTCATGGCATCCAGCAAATAGGTACCAGAGGCTAATGACATGACAGGCTGGACTGTGGCTGGGACAATGGGAGCGAACACTAGTGGGTGCCTGCTCTCTGGAGAAGTGGGGTTTGAGCTGAAATCTGAAGCAAGGGTGTGTGTGTGTGTGTGTGTGTATGTGTGTATGTGTGTGTGTGTGCGTGTGTGTGTGTAAAGGAGCCACTAGGGCAGGGGGAGAGGGACGTGCAGTGCAGGCAAAGGAGGTAGCACTTTTCAAGAGTGGCTGGGGTTGGGGGAGTTAGAAAGAGAAAGAGGAGGGACAGGTGGGCAAGAGGCCAAATCATGAGACCAAGACAAGGCGTCTGCAATTCACCCAGGAGCACAGGGAGCCACTGGGGTGTGAGTGTCTTGATTCATGGGGATCGTTCTGGATGGGGTAGGAGGCAAGTGTGGACCTAAACAGAGAGCAGCACAAACTTGATAATGAACTGGCTACGGCCAGGGGCCTGGGCAGCAGCAAAGGGAGCGTGTGTGGTTGTGATGGTGGAAAGAGATGGATCCCAGAGATGCAGGGACAGGTGGGCGTGTGGGGCGACCGTGGCTGATGTTTCAAACACACTGAATCTGAAATGCCTGTATTACGCCCATGTGGAGATCGTCTAAAAGCCATTGGGTAAATGGGACTGGAGGCCAGAGGTAAAAACTTAGGCGGGATCAGGTAGGGAAGTGTGCTTTTGTGATTAATGAGATTGATAGAGATTTGCAGATGTTTATTTTTTGTGCATGTGCAGCAAATTCTTGAGATGACCAAAGTGTGATCAGTTCCACGGACATTTTCCTCACATTTATGTGGCCTTCCTCTACCCTTCCTATCTTGCAGCTCCCAAAACCCTTACAAATGTCCTAAATAGTGAAGTGATAAAGGCATTTATTATTGGCTAAGGAGGTGACTCTGGGAAAGCCCCCCGAGGCGGGATGGGGGTGGGAGGCTGGTGGGCAGAACCAAGTGCAGGTTAGCGGGCTGGGCTTCCGGCCGGCCCCAGACCTCTGCGGAGGAGACCTGCAGGCTGAGGTCAATCATCAGTGATTTAATCAGTTGTGCCTGAGAAATGAGGCTTTCACAGGCCCCCCAAGGAGGGGCTTTAGAGAGCTTCTGGGTTGGTGGCCGAGCAGAGATTTGGGGAGAACAGCAAGCCTGGGGGGAGGGGAACATGAAGCTGACCCCTCTCCTCACACCTGGCCCTCTGCACCCCCCACAGCTGGCTGTTCCCCACTTAAGTCCTTTATAATCAATCGTGATCTAAGCAGTTAAGGGGTTTCCTGTGAGCCGCTCTAGTAAGTGAATCACACGTGTGGAGCATCGCGGGCGCTTCTGAGCTGCTGCCAGCCGGCCCAGAGAGCAGGTAAGGGCCTGGGCTTTGCTGGTGTCTGGAGGGAGGGGGTCTGAGCCTGTCACCTGTGGATCCTGACGTTCTCTTGGGTAGACGGTGTCGGAATTGGATTGAGCTCTCTGACCCCTGCTGATGGCTGAGAATTGCTTGCTGTGTGGGGAAGTCCCCACACACCCACCTTGGAGGTGGGGCGGGAACCCTGAATGCGGAGGCAAAGCAGTGAGTGCGGGTGACATTGCACGGAGGGAAAGCAAGAAGCGAGGTGGGGAGGGCCTGGGGTCAGCTGTGGGGACTGCGGGGGGTCAGCAGTGGGGTGGGGGGACTTGCAAAGGGGGCAGGGGAGGAACAGACAGCAGGAGAGGAGAACCCACAGCTACATTTCACAGAAGCAGATGAAGTGCCTGTTGGGTATGAAAGGTGCCCGGTGGCAGGTTTCTGAGGGATGAGATGAGAACTGGGGAAAGTCCATCGAATTTTGTGGCACGGGGGGGGGGGTCGTCTGGGTGGAATGATGATGAGGTGGCACCACATTTGAGGGGGTGGAGGAGGGGAAGCGCGAAATGGAGACACCTGGCCCAGCGCAAACTGCCCTTTTGGGAGCGCCTGTGATGGCGAGGGAGACAAGGCGTTGGGTTGAGACAGGCGTTGGGTCGAGACAGGCGTTGGTCGTGGGGGTGTGAGGTGCAAGGGAAGTTCCAGAGCCTCCCTCTCCCCCACGCTTTCCTGCACTCAGGTCCCTGCTCCAATGTCATTTCAGGCCTCCAGGTCTTTCCCCTCGACCACAGCCCCCAGCCATGCCACTTGAGCTGCTCCTGGGATTGCTGGGAGGATCCTTGCCCCCCTTCTTCCTTCATGCACTTGCCACCACCCTACAGGCGAGTCTGGGGGTCTCTCACCCAGGAAGACAGTGCCACAAAGCAGGACTTCACCTGCTCATTGGCTCACTGCCCAGTGCCCAGGCCAGCAGCTGGCACACAGCCATGCTCCAAAGCTTCGAGCTGAGTGACGAAGCAATTTAGGTGGAAGGTGGCATCTGAGAGGAGGGGAGGAGAGGAAGAGAAGACAAGACCACTCTCCGTGGGCGGGGTTGGGTAGCAAGAGGCTGAGGTAATTCCTGCCTGATATCTGGAATCTTCTATATGAAATGGGAAGCAAGTCCTTGGCTCAGAGTGGGGGTTTGGAGCAGGACTGGGGCTGTGAGAAGGGTTGGACATTTGAGAAAACTAGAAAAATTAGCTTTAAAAATCTCTTCAAAACAATAGAATTAGCGAACAGTTACTCAGCACCCCAGAAGGTAGCTATGGTTAACAACACCGTGAGTCTGATGGGGAAACCGAGGTCTGGGGAGGCTGAGGAATGTGCCTAAGGTCACCTTGCTAGAAGCGACCTGGCTGGCTGCCAAGCCAGAAGATGTTCTCGTTCCTTCCTGCACACACCATCCTGCTGCCCGGGTGAGGGACCCCTGCCCCGGCCCCCCAGCACTCACCTTGTCCTTGTCTTCCATCTCCAAGGAGATATCCGAGGGAGAAGTCTTCTCACTGTGCTCCCCATAGATCAGCGAGGTCATGCTGCGGGCCAGGAAAGGCAGAGGGAGGTGGAAGAGGAGGAAGAAGGCTAAGGAGCGCCTTGGTCTCTGGCCCGCTCCCTGGGCTGAGGGCAGCAGGCCACTCCTGCCCAGTAGTGGACACACGTCCACTTGCTTGTGAGCACACAGCTCTGTGTATAGAGAGCCGTCACCCTGGGGCCAGGTGCCCACACATCTGGGAGCCACAGGATCCAGAAAGTCTGAGATCTGAGAAAAAAAGTGGCCTCATGCCCAGCGATGGCTGCCCTCCAAGTCACCTTTGTCTGGGTGGGCTAGGAGGGGGCACGGGCAGTGTGGGCACCTGGTCATGGCAGCACCCCCCAGGGGAGCAAGCAGCTGACCCAGCCCTCACCTGTCATTGTGCATCAGCAGAGCCAGGCGCCCGTAGTCCCATGCAGCTTTCCGGAGGAAGGAGTAAACCACAATGATGACCTGCAGGCGAATCAGGGCAAGAGAACTCATGGATGCCTTCCCCTTGGCCAGCCTCCTGCGTTCCCAGGGGAGCTCCTGTCCCTGAGGCCCTTAGGGGGCTCCCCCAGCTAGAGGGAGGGACCATGACTTTTTGTTTTCCGAGTGCCCAGTGGCATCCTGGCTTAGAGTGCATGCTCACGCTTTGTTGGACAACCAGACAAGGAAACTCTTGAAGAAATCAGCAAGGGGAGAGAGCAGAGCCCACGGGCCCTAGCCAGGTGGGCCTTGGGACAGCGGTGCGTGGAAGACAATCTTGGGATTTCTTCCTGCTCCTCCACCCCGAGGTCCCGAGGCCCAAACACGGGGGCCACCGTGGGCAGGGCTGACATTCACACAGTTCCCACCAGTGTCTGTGGGGACAACTCAGGCCCTCGATGCACCACGTGTGAGAGCCGGGCTGTCTGCCCCAGATCAGACCTCACTTCCACCCACCACAGAGCCCAGACTCACCAGCCACAAGAAAACATTGATGAACAGCACTGTGGGGACACCTCCAAAGGGCTGCCCCTTCAGGACGGTGCTTTGAGACTGGAAACACTCGTCCATCGATATGTTATGTGTTTTTTCCACCACATTCAGTTTGGCCTGCGAGACAGCCATTCTGGAAGGCTCCCTGGTAAACAGAGGGGTCTCCAGGTCAGATATAAGGGCTCCTCCTCACTGTGAAAACACAGAAGTGAGTGCACGTCAGACCCAGTGCCCCGGGCCAGCCTGTAAGTGATGAAGGCAGGCAGGGCAGCCTCGAGATGGCCGCAGGCCTCCCTTGTGAGACAACAGCCTCCCAAACCCGGGACCATGAGCACTGGGTGACTCAGACTTCCTGGGAGAGTTTTGTTGGGGTACTAATGGCTTCATCTGGGGAGAGGTGGGGGAGACAGAAAAGGGAATAAATCTCCTGCCATGACCAGGAGATGGGGGTGACCTGGGAGCCCGAGGCTCCTGGTGCTAACATACAAAAACAGAACAAAGGGCATAATAAAGGAAGAAGATGTCCCTGGCTAGCATCTCACTGGACTAGGAAGCCTCTTGCTTATCTTTTTAAGTACCCCTAATCTCTGTTGCCTTTTCTGCCTAGGCTGCCCAGTTTTATTATCCCAGGTCACTGGTAAACTCACAAAGACACGTTTACCCAAATGTAAAAACACACTAGATTACATTGAACATGGCACGTTTTGCAAGTCAGCCTTTGCCGGAATCAGAGCAGCTGCAAGGCCGCTTCTGGGGTCTCTTGGAGGATGGAGCAACTCTGAGCCCCGGCAGGGAGTTGCAGTTCTGCTTGTGGCCACCGGAGGGAGCCAGTGCCGAGGAGGAAGCAGGTGGCAGAGGGGCGTGTGGGGCATGCAGGGCATGCTGAGGCCTAAGATTCCCTCTCCTACCTGAGTGGGGTCTCCAGAGAGGCTCCCAGTCAGGCCTGCAGGCTCCACTCAGCTATAGGGCTGCTGCAAAAGAACAGATGCAGATGCACAGGACTTAGGGACCAGATCTTTTCTGGCATCAGCCCTTTTTATGCCCAGGTTGCTGCTCTTTACCACAGACAGGTCTTGCAAACACTTTCGGTCTGTTCTTGTCTTCCCCTTCTCTTTATGGTGGATCTGAAGCACCAAAGTTTTGAATTTTGACAAAGTCCAGTTCATGCAATTTTCTTTTATGGACCACACCTTTGGTATGGCATCTAAGACGGCTCCGCCTGGCCCAAGGGCTTAGAAGGTCTTTACCAATGTCTCCTTCAAAAAATCTTATCGTTTTAGCTCTCGCATGGAAGGCTGCCATGTGTTTTGAGTTAAGGCTTGCGTCTTGGGTGAGGTAGGTTCTAAGCTCATGTTTTGGCATGTGGATGTCCAGTTATTCCAGCACTATCTTTAATAGGAAGGGAACAGCTCAGAGCCACCACCCCCATCCCCACCCCGGGGGCTTCCTGGGGATAGGAGCCAGGCCAAGGATGTAAAAAGCACTTGGGGCCACTATACAGTCATGGGGCTGTGGTGGCTGTTGCTGGTTAATACAGCACATGGCGAGGCAGGGCAGGGTCGGGGCTGTGAGGAGCTCAGGTTTCTATCTTCTCTGCGGAGGTCTGAGTCCTAGATGCTGCTCTTTCCATTCCTCAGCTCCCACTCCCCTTTGTCCCATTCTGAAAGTATCCCTCTCTCCTACCTTCCTTTCTCCCCCAAAGAAGGGCCGAGGACCTACTGTAAACCAGGCTCTGGGGGTCTAGCACCTCTGCTCCCACCTGCATGAGGCTCCCAGACCCTGGGGAGACAGGCAGGTATGCCAGGCACACACCCCTGAGGCCTCCATCAACCCAGGCCACAGGAGAGTGTCCCCTCACCCTTGAGGGGGCAGAGAAGCTCCTGCGAGGGGGTGGGTGGGGAGCATGAGCAAAGGGAGACTGAGCAAGGCAATTGGGAAAGTGAACATGAACAGTCCTGGCAAGCATGGAGGCTGAAGCACCTGTTCGTTCTTTCATTTGTCCATTTGTTCCTTTAACAAGGATTTATTTATTTATGCATACAAGAGCTGGGGTATAGGCCAGAGGTAGGCCAGAGGTGTTGGTGGGTGAGAGGATTCACCAGAGACAGAGTGGGGAGCAGAACAGGTGGATCCACTGAAATACACTGCTGAGGGAAGCAGTGGGCGAGACAGGAGAGGTCTGCCGCACCATGTGGGTAGCTCCCTGGCTGGCTGGGGATCGAACTCTTGCTGTAGTGGCTGCTGATAGCTTCCTAGTGCTGAGACTTAACCCCTTGCGCCACCAGGGAGGCCTCCCTTCAACGAGAATTTGTCGAGTATTTACTCTTGCCTGATCCCAGATAGAACCTAAACTTCAAACATGAGGTCCTTTGGGGGTGTTCATGGCTTTTGGGGTTTGGGGAGGCCTGTTCCTGGCTGCTGTTCTGCCTGGGAGGATCCCAGTTACATATCTCAGTCTCTAAGCTTGGAGTGGGGTGGAATCCACCCAGCAGGGTTAGGTCAGGACACGCTTTCCCCTCAACATGGCTGCCCCGCAGGAAGGGGAGATGAGGAAGGAGAACACAGAAGAGACTCACCCCATCTTGCCATCCTTTTCTGCTTTCTCAGCAGCAAAGAGGCAGGAATGAGGGAGGCTGTTGCCGTGGAAACCTAGAGCAGCACACGGCCTTTGTCATTACCCCTTCACCATGCCCTGACCTTCCTTCTTTCTGGAGGGAGTTACCTCTCGGGGGCTCAGGAAGGTACAGAAAGCTTTCTGGAGGCCAGTGCATCAGCACTGGGGAGAATGGACCCTGAAATCTGGGTGTGCTAAAGGAACAAAGAGCAGGGATGGCCACATGCCTGGTGGGGGGCATCAGGGATCCCTCTCTTGGGGCATGAATTTCATAGCAGAGCACAGGGAATCCCCGGAGCCAGGTCATCTGATCCATCCTTGATAGTTGTGTGACCATAGGCCGTGACTTCACCTCTCTGAGCCCCACTTTGCACATCCAGATAATCCTGGCTCATAGGATCATCGTGTAGACAAAATAATTCGGATGAAGCCCTCCGCACAGTAGATGGGAAATGCATGCGCTCAGTATGTGGCGGTACTGTCATCACCAACAGCTTACTGGTGGGCCTTCCTGACCAGTCCGAGTCTCCATCCCTCGGCTTTGTCCTCAACAGGCAAGGGAAGAGGTGGGGATTATGGGAAGGGGTCCTGCGCGCCTCAAACTGCAGCCTGGAAGTGGTCTCCCTGTGCATGAAAAGCCAACGTCAGCCTTGTTTTGGGGGCCGAGCAGGGGCAATGAAAGGTGGTATTAATATTGGTTCAGTGAGTCAGGATTTCCGAGTGCCCATCCCAGTCACATGCCCCGCCCCCCAATCCTAGCCTCCTGAGGCAAGGCTGGAGGCTCAGCAGTTGGAGGCTCACTCCCAGATTTCCAGATCTGGCCTGGACCAGACCAGCACTTAGCTCCCCACTTTTCCCTCCAGGTCAGGTGGGCACCAAGTTCAAGTCCTCTGTGTGAGAAGCCGAAAACCCAGGACTAGCGTGGCCAGAAAGTCCTAGGGAAGGGCCAATCTTACTAACAGCTAACATTTATTGAGCACTTAGTACAGGATAGATACTTCCCACTTATAAAACAGCTCGTTTAATCCTGACAAGTCTCCTAAGGTACTGGAATCATCCCTAGATGAAATAAAAATTCAAAGGCCAGACATGCGAATGGTCACAAGGTAAAGCGGCAGACTGTCCCTTGAGCCCAGCCAGTTTGTCACCCTCTGCTCTGCTGCATCCCAAGTCCTTCGGGCCTCTGCTGAGCTGGGCGGGGGCAGGGCAAGAGGATGACCTTGTTCAAGCCCTAGTTCAAGGGTAAAACCTTTCCCAGGCCTTTGGGGCAGTGCCGTGGAGAGTACTGCGGCCTGAGGGACCCCAGGAGAACGGGGCTCAGGTCCAGCAGTGCGGCCTTTGGCAGATGCCTGCCCTTATCTGGGTCACAGTCTCCTTGTCTGCAAGATGAGCGGTTTCAGGGGGAGATTTCTAAGGTCCTGGCTGGCCCCAGGATTCCAGGTGTCCCAGAGTCACAGCGCACAGCTGCTCAGCCTGCATTTACCAGCTCTGCCCAGGCCCACCCTCCAGCACCCTGTGGGTTCTCAGGCCTGCATTTTGGTTTGGAGAAGATCCCTGTAGCCATAAGCCCCATCCTAGGATAAGCAGCTGTGGGTGGACAGCCACCCCAACTCCACCTCCCCGCCCCCTGCCTGCTCACCCTACAGTGCAGAATGCCACAGGGCCTGCCCCCCCCCACCCCGCCCCACCATCTGGCCTCCGCTGTCTCTTCAATAATTCATCACCTTTATGTTAACAATAAGGAATGATCATTTCCCATGGTTCTGGGCCTTGAACAGATACACCGGAGTTCTGGCCATGGGTGTCAGAACTCACCTCCCCCTCTCTGGGTCTCTCTGCATCACCCCTTTTGTGCTCTTTGAACTCAGACCTCCTCCCCTCCTCCCTCTGTCCCCCACCCCCAACCTTTCCAGGAAGTCGGCTCTGTGGCTCAGATTCATCAGATTCATTCTCACTGCTGGGGACCCGGTGCTCTGCAGGAGGGGGGGGGCGGGGGGGGGGCTGCAGCGAGGGTTCTGGCCAATGTGCACCCCCACCCACCATGCCAGCTGGCCAGGCATCTTCCCCTACCTGTCAGTAAGCCCACCCTTGCTCTCAGTGCCCCCAGCATCGATCACTTCACATCTTCACAGCAAAGGAAGATTTGTCCAAATTTATACATGAAGAAACGGGCGGCCAGCAGGCTGGGAGATTTACCCGCGGCTGGGAAGGGAGGGGCTGTGGGATGCAAACTTGGCTTCTCTGGTTTCCCATTCAGTGCTGCCTGGCTGGGATCAGCCTGCAGGGGATGGGTGTGTGGGGAAATGCTAGAATCACCTGGAAGGAGTTTAGATCCAGATATAGGATCTGGATGCCACACTCCAGGCTTTAAAAGTGAGAATCTCTAATCAGTTCTTATCTGCAGCCAAATTAAAGAAACACCAACTTATGATTTCTAGAGTTATTTGCATCTAGATTGGAGGTTCTTGAAGCTCTGAAATGTTTCCTGAGTTCTCGCTTGAAGCTCTGAAAGGACAGACGATGGGAGATTTGGGGATAAAGGATGGCAACTCAGTGCCCCTTAAATCATGTTGTAACGGGTTAGCGCCTGAGGGGAGTCCTTATATTTCCTCTCAGGAGACCTCTCTGTATCCCCGCCTCCCTGGTACTCCCCTGTCCCAGTTCGTTCTGAATCTGTGGATGTTGGCTGGAGACATACAAAGACCACATCACCCCTTCCCTGGAATCCCCAACCTCTGGAAGTTCCACCTACACTAGAGGCCAGTGGCCCGGGCACTCCTCCACGGGCACCGTGCCCACCCACTGTCCCCGCCCCATGTCTCCCAGAGCTGCTCGATCTGCTCCACCTGAGCGTGAGCCACTTCCTGGGCTTGATGGGACCTTGGTCTCAGCAGTATTTATAGCCCCTGGGTGCAGCTCAAAGCCTAATCCCTCCCACCCAGGCTTTCTCCAATGACCAGCCAGGATTTAATCTCATCCCCACTCTCTTTACAAGCTGGCCTTGGCCACGACTGCCTGGCTTTGTCCTTTTGCTTCTCCACGCACATGAGCAGTCAGTAGCCCCAGTATATCTGTGGTCTCTTTGATAGCAGGACCCATGTCTCTTTCTCAAACTTTCCATAGTTCTTCCACAATGAGGATGCAAGCTGGAGGCCCCAGTGAAAGATCTGAAAGACGGATGACCCTTCACCCAGGACCGTTCTCAGGGCAGGACATAACATGGGGTGGTTTGCACAGGGTGCAGAGTATACCCGAGCCCCTCATTTTTGTCTCCCCACAGCACCAAGGTTACCAAGGCTTGTTCCCCAAGTCACAGCATGCAGTGGAGGGAGCATGCATGTTTGGATGAGGAGCCTG